TGCGAATGTGTGTGAAGGAAATGAAACTGTGAATTTTGGGACTTGATGGGCTGGGAGTTTTTATTAGAGGTGATGAGAAACTGTGAATTTTGGGACGAGTGGTGTAGCTAGATATTTGGGTGTATTAGTACTTGTCACTACTCTATTCTAGTAAATGGTGTGGTGAAGGATTTTTTTCTAGAATTAAGGGCATCAGGCAAGGTGATCCACTCTCTCCCTTCCTTTTTACCTTAGTAGCCGATGTGATTAGTAGGACCATTACTAAGGCCGGTAGAGAAGAAGTAATTAGGGGTTGGAAAATAGGGAGACACCAAATCCCAGTCACACACCTTCAATTTGCAGATGCCCTAATGATCTTTTGTCAAGGAGGTTTTAGCGAGAATGTACCAAACCTAAAGGAGCTAATCAAAGGATTTGAAACGGATTCTAATCTAAAAATAAATTTGGTGAAGAGTTGCATAGCGGGTATAAACTTGGAGGTTGGGGAGATTAAGGTTATTGCAGAGTATCTTGAGTGTTCCATCTCTTATTGGCCTATGTCCTACTTAGGGCTTCCATTAGGGGAAAATCCTAGGGAGAATAGATTTTGGACCCTAGTGCTAGAAAAGTTTGAGAAGAGATTAGCTTCATGGAAGAAGAATAACATCTCTTTGGGAGGGAGAATCACCTAAATAAGAGTTATTTTGGCTAATTTACCCACTTACTTTCTGTTTGTTTTTAGGATATCACCTAGGAAAGCTAGGAAGCTGGAGAAGTTGATGAGAGACTTCTTGTGGAAGCTAGGACAAGAAAAAAAGGATCATTTGGTTAAATGGGAAATTGTTTGCAAAAGTAAAGAAGAAGGGGGATTGGGAATGGGAGGGTGACTGAAAAAAATCAAGCTCTGTTAGGGAAATGGTTGTGACGATGGCCATTGTCAAGTGAGAGGTTGTGGCATGTGGTGGTGAGAAGCATTCATTGGAAGGCCATTTACAACGCCCATCCTCAATTTCTTAATTTTATATTTTTGTTAGGTATGATGTTTGTCCGGGCAATGTTGTTCGCTTTTGGGAGGATATCTGGGTAGGAGACACCCCTCTAAAGGACCTTTTCCCTTTCTTATTTTTTGTTTCTTTGTATAAAAAAGAGGTGGTCTCAAAATTTGTCTCACCCTCAAGAACACCCTTGGCTCCTAATTGGGATTTTAGGTTTCGTAGGGGACTAAGGGATGATGAAAATGAATCTCTCTCTAACTTGCTAGGTTGCCTTAATCAGGTTTTCTTGGATCCCTCCAAGCTAAATAAAAGGGTGTGGGCTCCTAGACCCAAAAGAACCTTTACTTGTGCTTCTTATTTCAAGTCCATCTCTCAGTCTTCTGCTCAACAACCCTTTTTGTCAAAGGAAATTTGGTGTAGGCCAATTCCCCCAAAGATTATGGCGTTTTGTTGGGAAGTATTCTATGGGAAAGTAAACACTCTAGATAACCTACAAAAGAGAAGACCTTTCCTCTGTATTTCTCCCAACTGGTGTATCCTCTGCAAAGCTCACGGGGAGGATTGTTACCATCTACTAATATCTTGTCCATTTTCTACAGACCTTTGGGCTTGGCTACTTTCATTGTTTGGGAGTAGTTGGAGCTTACCAGTAGAAGTTTGCATGATCTTTGACCATTCTACTTTCTCTTGGCCTACAAAAAACAGGGAGATTTATGTGAAGATACACTCGCGCCACCTTGATTTGGACTCTTTGGGAAGATGCTAGAATTTTTCAAGAAAAGGAAAGGAGCAGTCAGGAACTGAAAGGCTGTTACATAGGGCAATACTTTGGCTGAAGACGTTGAAAATCTTTCATCAATTTTCTTTTAATGACCTTTGGAGAAACTAGTCAGTAGTAGTGAGGTGCTCACCCTTAAAGGACAAATTAATTACAAGTTGGTCTCCTCCATCTGAAGGCTCATTGAAGTTGAACTTTGATGGAAGTAGCATGGGTAATCCAGGATTATCCGGAATGGGGGTTGTTCTGAGAAATGAGAATGGAGAGATTGTCTTGCTTTACTCATGTCCTTTAGGAGTTGGGGACTCTATCAGGGCAGAGCTATTAGCTGTTGTACAAGGGGTGCAATTTGCAAACCAGCTGAGAGTACAACATTTGATAATTGAAGGGGAATCTAAGGTGGTGGTGGGCTGGTTGAAAAATCCTGAAGATGCTATATGGTGCTACAAGAACAAAATGAAGAAATTCAGTTAGTTGACAAGGAATATGTTTGGTGGGGAGATCAGCAAATACTTTGTCCAATGTGTTAGCCAAGCAAGGGGTAAATAGGAAGAATTGTTTTGGGCTCAGCTGTGATTCCTGTATTTATTTCCTAGTTTAATTGTAGGATTCTAGGAGGGGCTGCAGCTCATGCCTCTTCCTTGGATGTTGTATGAAATCACAACTCTAAATCAGCTTTTGAATTAATAAAATTTTACTATTACTCACCAAAAAGGATATCATTATTAAACAACTTTTCTCGAACAAGATGGCAATCTACTTTAATATATTTAGTCCTCTCATGGTAAACTAGATTAAATAATATGAATGACAGACTGATTGTCATACTGTAGACTCATGGAGAGCATATCCGGAATATCCAACTCTTGTAGGAAGGGCTTCAACCACATCATCTCACAAGTAGTATGGGTCATCATAGCACTCAATACTCAACATTAGCACTTAAACATGCCATAAACACTGTTTCATATTGGCAACCAGGCAACCATGCCAGTACTCAACTTCAGCAGTTGACCATACCCTGTTGTCGACCACCTGTCTAATGGTGAACCAGCCCAATCAGCAACAATAAATCCTGATACATTCACATTACTATGGTCTTTATATAAAAACCCATGGCCAAGCGACCCATACATGTACCCTTCCCTTGTTCATTGTTTTGGACAAGGAAAGCAATCAAGGAACCATCAAACACCATGATATATAATAGAAGTGACTTGCCAGTTGTTGGGCACACGAGGACTGGTGGTTTGATCAGATATGCTTTAATGTTGTCAAAAGCACTCTGGAAAGTTTGATCCCATTTAAATGGTCTTCCTTTTTCATGAGTCTGGAGAATGGCTAACACCACAATTGAATTAAAACATAATTGAACTTAAGGACATTTAAAACTGAAAGAAGGGGGCATTTGAAACCAATACAACCCTTTCTTTCTGCTAATAGTGGGACCATTACTTATTATCAAGTAGACCCAGAGGTTCTTTCTTCTGCAGAGCCCTTAGAGTGTCAATGGAAACAGGTTAGTACAGTTCTATCGCTGATGTGGCCTTGTTTTGATTCAGGAGCTTCTTCTTTAGTCTAGRATTCTAAATAATAATCAAATCAAAAAGAAGCAACTGCACGAGAACTAGAAGTGGTCATCATCTGGCAGCTATTAGCTCCACTAAGTAGCCTTGGAGAAGAGAAACAAGCTATCCTCACCTACCCCCAATCTATATCTATATCTATAGGCAGCAAACTTAAGAGCTGGTAAGTGTGTATTTTACCTGTTGAGCCTCAAAGCTTATGTTTTCATGTCACTGCACCAACAAAAGAAAAGTCTGATATTTCCATGGGGTTGGCTCGACTATTTAATCTTTGATAGGGCTACAACTTGGGGAGGCCCATTTCGAGATTTTGCATGTGTTGGGCTTGTGTTTTCAGGCTTCAGGTTGGGTTGGGATTGGGTTGAGGACATGGTTCGCAATTTCGATATCAATGGATATTTCGCAATATAGTGATGGAGAAATTTTGGAGATATTTCACTAATTTCGCTAAGATATTTGAACAATCTAAAAACTAGGAAAGATTTCTAGAAACAAGGAATTAATTATTAAACCTTCAGAATCATTAGAATAAATATAATTGCACAGTTAAGGCTCAAAAAAACCATAGCAAAGAACTACATAAATCAAATAGGAGAAAATTGAGAGACTTTAGTGGTGTCTCTTTTTGTCTCCATTTTATTCTTTTAGCAATCTTCGCATCATTAAATATGTCAATTACTTGCTATTTTCACTTTTTTTCTTTTTTTTTGTTACTATTATAATTTGGCCTGCCTTGAGTTCTGTTAGTCTGATAACAGCCAAGAAGAGAGAAGAAGAAAGAAGAAAGAAAGAGAGAGAGAAAGGAGGAGAAAAGGAGAGAAGAAAAGTCTGGTTCGAATTAGGGAAAAAATTACTTCTCCCATTCAGCCAGACATGTTTTATATTACTAATATAATGGAAAAGACACATGTGCCCTTATTTAAGTGAGGGACACTAGTTCTAATATAATATTACAGATCAGCAACCTCAACATAAGTATAAAGACAGAAATACCCCTACACTAACAGTTACTATATATTTTGATTAATTTGAGAATACTCTTTTATAGTTATATGCATTTTACTTTTTCTTTTAAATTATAGTGACTTAGTTAATGATATCAAAATAGTAAGTCCATTATTCAATCACCAATTCCTCATGGTTCTTTTAGGAAAATATTTTCTAAAAATAACAATAGTTTTAAGAAAATATCAAAAAGTTTGTAATAATATTCTAAAATTTTAAACCTTAAATATAGTCTATCAATGAATCTGAAATATTGCCAACATATCAGAAAAATATCAAAGATATTTCTAAGAAAAAGATTCCCAGAAAATTTCGTATCACCACCTAGCAAAATGTGGGATATAACGCCAATATCATTGATACTGCAAACCATGGTTCAGAACTTGGGTAGCCTAATGGCCCTAACCCCAACCCAACAAAAACGACTAGTGGAGTATCAAGACATTGCAATTAGAAGACCCCATGCACATTCCCATTTGTGCTTAGTATATTCTTACTTGTGTATATGCATGTGTAGGCTTGGATATGCAAAATTGTAAACTTCATTTTGATGTGCATATTACACCAAACAAGAAATGGAAGACCATATATTCTTTCAAAGGAGCATGAAATTTGAACAGAAAAAAAATAAAGATAATCAAGAAAAACTATGCATACCTCCAGGGAGCAAAAGCTTTCCTGCACATAGAATAGGAAGCAAGAAGAAAATGTTAGTGAAACACCTAAAAGAGCAAAACTCCAAATGTTGGGAGCAAATGATAGCAAGATTTGCATTTCTCAAAAAAGAGAAAAACATAGTTATGTATGGTTCATTAGTGGATTCAGGACCTATGATTACCCCATATATTTACCAAAACTGAAGTCAAATGCAAAGATGATATAATCATTCCAAAATGAATGAAAAAGAACGGAATCTTTAACAGCTTTTTTCCATCAACATAAAGAGATCACTGAATGAGAAAAGTATAAACACAATATACATCCACAGAACAAAAAAGGAGCAGAAAAAAGAATCTAGCAAAGAAGATAAGAGGATGCATAAGAAACACACCATCTCATGGACTGACACACTACTTTTAGCCAAAAGCCTGGATTAGCAGACCTAGAAATGCAACAAAACAAGATGTCTAGTCTGAATTTCAAGAGATATCTCTAAGTGCATATGCTAATCACCACAAACCTCTAATGGTGCTAGCCCACCCAATTGCCACCCTGTCAAGCCTTCAAGAGATGGCAAATCGGAGCCCACAGACCAATAGTGAAAATTTTGGTAATACATTTCATGCAACAGAACAGAGGTACTGCCATTGAAAAGCCTCACATTACTTTCCCCCTAAAACCCATAAGACAGCAAGGAAGTGCATCACCAAATAAGTTCTCCATTTTCCTAGAAGGCACAAAGTGCCAGCACCATATAAGCTCAACATTTAGATGGGAAAAACAAAATCAACACAAACAAGTAGGAGCATAGAATGAAACAAATGAATAGATGATTAATTAGCATCCTTTCTAAATGTTGACAATTTACTATTATATGTTTTAATTATTTAGTTAGTGTTATTGGGACGAAGATCCATTAGTTTAATGTTTCTTTAAGTTATGTTTAAGTGTGAGGACAGTAGCCACCCTATTGAGGGTATATTTGACATTGTATATTGTAGAGATACTGTAAACGAGTCTTAGTTGCTGTCTTTTATATGTGGTCCCATCTTTTATTTATTGCTTTTACCAACTGTTACTGTTACTTTGTTTTCTTATAGGTGGAAGGGGTATTTAGTCATTGTAATCTTTTATTGAAACACATAAATAACAAATTGTGGGGGCAGCAGAACCATTATATTCTGCTCACCTTTTCTTTTATCGTCTTCTTCTCCTCCTCTTCCTATGTTTCTTCGTCTCTTTTTTCTTTTAGGTTTAGGTTGAGATCACATGTATGCTTAACCCAGTCGGTTGCATGAGACTTTTTTAGGGCTGGAATTTCAGACCTTTTTTGCCTGATTCTTGGAAGTTAGTGGAGATCGAAGCATTGTTCAACCATCTTCTGAAGTCTGAACTTTGCCCAGTGACCAGGAAGGATCAAAGATACTATAGTGAGAATGGGCCGAATGGGCCTTAGTTTCTTTATTTTTCTTTAAGTTATGTTTAGACTTGTGTTACTAAGTAGTGGGCCTTAGTTATGGGCCTGTTTTTTGTTTTTTTTTTATTGTTTTTTATTGCTGTCTTTAGTGATAGACGCCTTACTAAGGGCACTCATGTAATTGTGTTTAATTTTTACAACAAAAGAATAAAAGAGATCATTGGGGGCTGAAGAGAGGTTTAGAACTCTCTCTTCTTCCCTTTCTTCCATATTCTTTCACCTTTACTTTTTCTCTCCCATCTTCTTCAATCTTCTCCTTCTCTTCTGTTTTTCTTTTCTTTATTTTAGATTATTGCAAGTGTGTTTCACAACTTGGTATCAGATCGGGTTCTCACCTTCAACATCTTTCTTCTTTCTTAGCCCATACACAATGTGTATGGAGAACTAATCGGCTGATCAATTAGCAGCTTATGTAGCCCAGATGGAAGGGATTTTAGAGAGGTTTAGTGGAGACTTTCATCCTTAGTTGAAGCCCAACGCAGGTTCTTGGAGTTTTTTTTTTCCTGAAAACCTTAGATAACTGGAGAAATCTTGTTACAGAACAGGTCATAGAGACACTTTGATTTCTATTAAGGGTGGTTTGTGTTGGACAGAGTTCTGAAACCTCTGGTAAGAGCGGTTGGACTTTCTCTCCTCCCATCCTGCTGGGTTCTGTGAAATCCTAGTTTTGGGTGATTAAAGAGCAATTCTTCGCTTGAAATAGCAAATCTAGCCTAGTAAACCATAATTTGATTTTCATTTGCATCCGTTCACTCAATGGAGCAAATTGGAGGAGAAGCCAAATATCCCACAGATTCTAGGTTTAGACATGGGGGGCCTATGGAGACTCTGTTCGGGGCAGTGACCATTGTGAAGCTGGATGGAACCAATTATTTAGCTTGGTCTCAGTCAATTCAAACACGTGTGCAGTAGAGGGAAATGGGGGTACATTACCGGAAGCAAAAAGAAACTGGAGGAGGATGACCCCACCTATGAAAGGTAGATGCAGTAAAACTACACAGTAGTGGGATGGTTAGTGAACTCTATACAGCCACCAAAGTTGTCAAGGCAACGCCTAGGCGACAAGGTGCCCTTTGAGGCTCGCCTCGCCTAATTGCCAAGCAGTTTTTTACTTCCTACTATAAAATACTTTTTTGTTCATTCTTTTTTGAGATTATAATTATAAAATAGACATTATTAAACTAAAATAATCATTTTGTGTGTTTATATACTAATTTATTTTTATTGTTTTCTTATTTATTAGGGTTTAATCAACACAAACATTGCTAAATGCTGTATTGAACCCTCAAAGACTTCAAAACCTGAACCAATAAGTAAGGAAGAATTTAAAATTTTATTTAGTAACACATTTTATTCTTCCATACTACTACTACTACTACCATTACTTTTTCTTTTCTTCCTTTCCTATAACAAAAATAAGGGTTCATCCCCTATACTTTTTGAATTTTATTTTCCTTCTTCCTTTTCTTCTCATGAATATGTTGATTTTCTATACTTTAATATGAACTTTATACTTTTCTTATGAACAATTATTAAGAAAATATGGTTATGGTACCTAGGGAACTACCCTAGGATCTATGTTTTCAGCATAAAAAAATCCATCGCCTAAGCGACTAAGCAACAAGGCACCCCCCTGTCACCTAGCCTCGCCTGGTGCCTTGAAAACTATGGCAGCCACATATTAGTCAGCACTACTTGTGGATGGAAACTGCAAAGGAAGTTTGGGATAGTGTCACGGAGACCTATTCCCAAAAGCTGAATGTTGCCCGAGCCTACAAATTGAAGAATGATGTAAATAATCTAAGACAGGGGGAGAAGCCCTTATTCGTCTACTTCTCCCGGGCTGAAATTTCATTGGTAGAAGACTGATGATTTGATGGAGAGTATTGTTTGGGGTTGTACAAAGGGTGCAGAAACACATAGGAAGTTGGTGGAGAGAAACCGAGTCTGTAGAGCACAGGTTGATCACTATGCTAACGCCAGGATGACACCGAAGGTCAACACTGGGATGAAAGATGTTATCTGTGAGTACTGCAAGAAACCTAAACATACTAAAGACACTTGTTGGAAGTTGCACCCAAAGCTTATACTTTCCAGACTCAAGAAAGAAAGTAGTGGAGAAAGGATTGAGAATGGAAAAGGTGGAAATGCAAATGTAGCCACCTCCTCATAGAGTGAATAGTGGCAAAATAGTGAAAAGTCAGTGGAAGAGCAACTTGCAGCTGCCAGGGCTGAATATGAGAAGTATGGCCAAATAATCAGTCATTGGAGTATATAGCATCTACTTCATCAGAGACAATTCCTTCCTCTGCATATGCACACTCAGGTTTTCATGCCGCTACAAATCATGCTTCTACCTCAAGTACTCATAAAATCCCTTGGATAATTGATTCTGGTGCCTTTGACCACATGACTAGTGTCTCACACTTGTTCACCTCTTACCAGTTCCTTTCTAGTCGAGACAAAATATCCCTTGTTGATGGCTCTCTTGTCCCTATTACAAGAAAGGGAGACATCAAGTCATCACATGACCTAACCTTATCATTCGTTCTTCATGTGCCTAAACCTAATACCAATTTGCTTTTAGTTAGTAATCTAACTAAATCCATGAATTATAGTGTGACCTTTTATCCTTCATATTGTGTTTTTCAAAACATGAAATCTCAGAAGGTGAGGAGTGGGGTATATCTATTAGACATGCCTGAGCAGAGCCAAGTACAACCTCAGTGAACTACTTTTGTTTCAGAATCCACTAGTCATGTTATTTTGTCATTATCGTTTGGGTCATTTATCTTTTTCTTCATTGAGTCAATTGTTTCCAAAATTATTTAAAGGAATAAATCTGTTAAGTCTACATTGTGAGTCTTGTGAGTTTTGAAAGCATTGCAATAACACTTATCCTGCAAGCAATAAAAGATCGACTATTCCTTTTAATGTTGCTCACTCTGATGTGTGGGGGCCTTACCATTTACCTTGAATAGGTGGCTATAAATATTCTCGTGCTGAAGTGCCTAAAGTTGTGCAACAATTCCACGAATATATCCTCACTTAGAAGTTAAGCATGTAGAGGGTCTAAATGTAAGAGGCAAGCTGCTTTGGATGATTTTCCCAGCTGCTATCCTTTGGGCCCTTTGGAAGGAAAGGAACAATCGAATTTTTGATAACCTTTTCCAATGACATAGTTTCAATCAAAAACAAAGTTATGGGATTTTTATGTTCCCGGTTAAGTGTACAAAGAGCTTTCACTGGAGTTCAACTTTTTTCTTTTTTGTGAGTTAGACCATTCTTTATCTGATTTCTCATATATTTTTGTAAATCCCCCTTGTACAAGTCCTCATTGTACATGGGCTGATGTATCTGGTTTCATTTCGCAATACAATACTTTACTTTCTTCAAAAAAAAAAAAAAAAAAATCCTCACTCAGTTTGATACCCACATCAAAATATTCTGATTAGACAATGCTAAGGAATATTTTGAAAAGAACCTTACCTCCAATCTTGAAAAATTTAGGGTTGTTCATCAAAGTTCTTGTGCCCATACT